CATTGCTTTCAAATACACTAATATAATCAATGTTAAAGTCAGAATTATCTTCAAAGAAAAGTTCATTTACTTGTACAAATCCAGCTTTTCCCACTTTATCCTGCAGTATAGTAAATGGAACCTCATTGTTATTAGATGAAAGTAGACGACTAGAAAGAGGAATCCATCGAGCCTCATCGGGGACACCACTTCTACCAACATACAACACATTTGGACCAAGTCCAGTGTTGTCATTATTTGGACCATGGGCAATTATTGCTACCGTAGACCCATCAGTTGATGTTGTTGCTACCTGTCTATCATACCACTTTATCAAATCTAATGTATCCATATTTCTCGTTTCACAAGAACCTCTGTAGACATTTCCGCAGGTTATCAATTGGCTATTATCTGTATCAATGACTAGAATCTTATTGATATTATTTGTTGACACAAGCGTAGAATTACACTGCACAAAATCTGGAGGTTTACAATCAGGGTTGTCATCTTTTGGTCCCGTTACCTCAATCTCTTCTGTCTCCAAATCACTGGTCAATTTATAAAGTCTATTTACAGATCCCACATACAAACGACCATTAATAGAATCCAAAACCATCCTTATCAGCCTTATATCATTGTTACTTGGATCGTTTGTCTCAGTAAAGGTGGAGAAATCTTGACCATGGCTCATTAAAGTTAGGTGAAGCACAAATAATAGAAGCAAGAAGCGCCTCATTTTCACGGACATTTTATTGGTCACACACTTCAGAGTTGTAAACAAACCCTGGTCCTGCTAATAAATGGACAGACACATGAATTGTGATGTCAAGTCAATGAAATATTAAAGATTCCTAATGTTAGGTATTCCCTCCATTTCAGAGTGCAGTCTTCTGGCCTTTTTAGAATTCATCCTCTTACTTTTTCTATTTCTGATTTAAGTTTCCTTTTCAATTGAGCAAATTTTGTCTACTCCAGATTCGCCATTGTTTCGTTTCTTTACCAACAACCAGCGAAACCTGTTACAGATTAGTACGAAAGCCGAGAGGGGCCTTCCTACTTCACAGTTCCAACTTCCGAGTTCCGACTTCTAACTTCAGAGTTCCGTCTTCTAACTTCCGAGTTCCAACTTCTAACTTCCGAGTTATTATTGTTGCAAACCGCAGGAGCAAAAAGTACCGTCATCTGTAGTAATGAAACTTCATAGTAGTTTCTATCATCTGTGCACAGAATTGTTTTGCATTATGATTGGCATTGTCTAACCATATTTATATTGTCTTTGCATTTGAATATATTCTACCTTGGAAAAAGTGACCTGATACTATTCTTCCCATGGACCCTTCATTGTGATCTACCTTAGTTAAGACAAGTCCACTGATTATGATCTATCTGGGGACAAGTCGCTTGATTATATGCCCGGGTTATATTCTACTTTGTGACACGTTCCCTGGTAATTCCTTTATTCTTATCCAAACAGATTAATCATCAGTCTCACCTATACTTGACGGACACTGACATTCACTTATTTTTTTCGGACATGAGGTATGG